GCCTTGAATCATAGGTAGGGCTACTGAAGTTTCCCTTCCTCTCTTGCCTTGAGGGATTTTCTGTGTCTCCCTTGGGACCTCATGATGGTCACTTTTCTTCCAACCTTTAAACTGTTGGGTTTTTTTCTTCTTTGTTTCTTGATTTGTGTTTTGCTGCTTTCTCAGTAGTAAGAACTCAGTGCTCTCAGTAGAGCATCTCACTTGCTGTTATTTGTTTATTAGAGGAGACACTAATTGTTGTTAAATAGTTAACAGTAGTTGTGTGGATGGGTTACAGACATGTCTCATGTCCCCCTTCCTTGGCATGGTCACTGATGAGCCCAATGCTTGCGTGCAGAACCACTGGATATCTGTTTTAAGGAACTCTGTAGTCTGTGGGTAAAGGCAGGAGTGCAAGATGTAGCTTCTGGGCTCCCTTCTCAGCTTCATCAGCAACTGCTCCTGTAGCAGCTCTGAATCCAGACAAGGGGAGTCAGATGTCATGATGACACCTTTTGAAGAGGACTTTACCCAGGGACTACCAGGTAAAGAGTCTGTGTAAAAATAACTTTTTTACAAAATATGGAGCAGCAGCCATTGGGAAACACTGAGGGAGAAGCTGCGTGGCTGGGCTGCACAACCCAAGGCTGTAAGGCGGCACTTCTTCATGTACATCTGGCAGTCATGAGTCTCCCAAAGCTCCCTAGGGCATGGAGGAAATCTATGGTTCTCTCTCAGGGGCTCTGTCCATCAGGACAATGATCTTTAACCGAGGAGAAGTCTGACTTTTCAAGCAGAGCTGGGATTTTTTCTCGAAGTGCCGATTTGTAAATATGCTCAGAAAGGAATCTGGGGACCTGCCTGAACAAGAGAATGAGCTTTATATGTGCTACTTGTCACTGTCAGGATGGTGTCAGCTGTGGCCATGCCTGGAAGCAGCCTAGGGAGCTTTACCAATGAAAACACAAGTACCTCCAGAGCTGGATGGAAGGGTGTCACTGTCTGAATTATGGGTGCAGTGCTCTACAGGAGTTGTTTGGGCACCTTAAATTCTTCCACCCCTTTGCCCTGTCAATGAGTAAATTCAAAATATGTTATCACAGGGGCTCCAGTGAGTCACAGCTGAAGAGAGGCTGTGCTTGGTGGGTCACACTGGAATAGGAGTAGCTTAGTCTGTGGTGCAGTGTGAGTCTTGGGGAATGCGATGCTCCCCTGATGTGATGTCTGGCTCCCCTGTGCTCCTTTTGTCGATGCCAGTGAGTTGTTGCTGTTGTGTGTCTCCTGGGTGACTCGTGACTTCTCTGCTTCCTCCTGTAGGATCCCTGCAGGAGGCCTGTTAATAGCATTGCATGGCTTGGCTGGTGAGACCTTGCAGGAGAAGAGGACTCGTGAGCGCAGGGAGCTGTATGAGCAGAAGCTGGCAGAGTGGTAAGGAGCAGCTCCAAGGGTGGTTCAGACATTTAAAGGCTCCACAACGCTCCTCGGTTCTCCTGCTCTTGGTTGTCAGCGTGTTTCACATACCAGTCTGAGAACTTCTTTCCATCCCTGTTAAAGAGAGGAAGGAGGGGTAGCTGGAGGCTTTGGAGGAAAGAAGACCATGACACTGGTTGTGTGACTTACTCACTGACAGCGTCAGTTCTAGAATAAACTTTTCAGGAGCTGGAATTCTGCAGTCATGCCTTTGTCAGGAGGATACAGGCATAAAATTGCTTTGCACTCTCTCTTCTCTCCTTAGGCAATCCAGGCTGAATGTGACTGAAGTCTTGGGCCAAACGGAAAACAACGCCCAGGGAGGGCTGAAGATGGACTGAGCAAGAGACTTTAGGAGCTACTGAGTCTTCCCCAGATCTCTGTTGTAAGAAGCTACTGTAAGACTGTGCGACTTTGCACACTGGGAAGTGTCATCTGGGTTTGGCAGGGAGTGAGGGCAACTCCAGAGCCTCGTCTAAGGACCCATTTCACTGCTCAAAGTGTCCAAACCACCAGCAATGTAGAAATATTCAAGGTAAAGGGGCCTGTGAATAGTTTATGTGCTAAAGGTACCCCGATTCCAAAAGTTAACTGTGCTCTGGTGCAAGCTGTCTTCAGGCAGCACCTGAAGAACTTACTGACTGTGGTTTCTTCAGGCCTTGGTTCCTACAGTACTTGGGGTATTTTTCAGTCAATGTTGAGGAAGGGTAGAGGAGCTGGGAATGATATGGAAATGCCCTGAAAAAGGCAAGTTTTGGGTTCCTCAGTATAAGTCTGAGCGGGCCACAGGAAAGATGACTTATTTCTGGTGGTGATGGTGGAAAACTTGGCACTGTGGACAGTTTTAACAATAAAAAGGCCTCTAATTTCATTCGAAAGTTGGAAATTGGGGGATGACCTTTTGGGGAAATGTGGTTCAAGACACTCAATAAAGCCATATAGCAGTGGTGATTGTGTCCATAAGCTCTTTATGTCAGTACAGTATGTACTTCATGTTAGTACAGAGAAGTAGAGAGAAGCATCCTTGAGTGATATCCCATGAGAAGAGCTCTAGCTGAGATCCCACCAGTGAGCAATACAGTCTGGTGGCAGTATCAGATGTTCCCTCTATCCAGTAATAAAGGCAATAGCCAGGAGAGTGCCAGGTCTGTCTGTCATTTTGATCCAGAGATCAGCTGTTAGTTGTTATCTGTGGGTAGGGCTGTAGTTAATGTAAAATAGTCTCTACTCAGGAGGGCCATCACTGTTCCCTCAAAGCAGAATGCCAGGATTCTGGTTCCCTTTTTTTGTTGGAGATTTTTCTGCTACTGAAGGGAATTACATCCAGGCAGGGGGTTTGGGTCTACTTCCCACAGGAAAAGAGTAGTCAAGTCTGTTCTGGTTGAATGCTTTTACAGATAATTAGTGTTGATTGAAATATGAACAGTCGATCCCGGAGAGCTTATTCCACCCACCCAAAGCAGATTTTTGGCACTGTTTGCTTTCAAGAAGGTGTTGTGTTTTCTGACTTTTGAAATGAGCATTTAATTTTTTAAACATCCCAGTGTTGTTCATTTTTCCATTGAAGAAATACCTCTGTTTCAGGGTTGTCATCAACGAGCTCTGGTCTTTTCTATGTGTAAGTGAAGGATCTGAATAAGCAGAGGTGTGGATATGTCTCTCCCTCTTCCTGTTTTAGCCTCTGCATGCACCGGTGACAGTAGTGTTGTTGTCCTTTGCCCCCTCAAAAAAGGAAATAGCAGGCCTTTCTGAATCACCTTTTTGCCATTGTGCTTACACAGTGATGTCTTATCTTTTTCTCTTTTCTCTTTTTTTTCTTTTTTTTTGCTGTTACATCCCCACCCAATATCCCTCACTCTTATCTGTGCAGCAGCTCTGGTGACATTAGCTGTGTCATTGCTGTCTCTGTTCCTATTTGGTGGTATTTGATGTGATGTCTAAAGAATACTAATTTTCCTGTGCCTGACCATTGATGCAGGGACGTTCTCCTGTGGGGGGGCAGGCAGAGCCAAGGTGTAGCAGTTGTGTGGATTTTCTCCAAGGGAGGAAGGGAGGGCTGCTACATGTCCTTATGCTGCACTTTAGCACGGGGAGGCAGAGGCTTCCAGCTGCACTCAGGATTAGCAGCCATTTGTTTCTCAGTTTCCCACTGAATTTAGTTCCTTGCACTTCTTCATTTCTTACCCTCAAAGTCACTGTCTGAATGGGGAGTGAGGAGCTGGTTCAGAGCTTATTTTTTAAATACACATGTAAGGGATTCTCCACACCCCCACTCCCTCCACCCCCAGGAAAAGCACAGCACTGAGGTTTATGGTCTCTCCACTTCCAGAGTAGGTGACACAAGTAACAGGGGTATGGTGAGAACCTCTTACCCCTGGATTTTACTTTTGCAGAGAACCTCCTGCTTGGAGGGAGAAGGACAGCCTGTAGCTGCACTGCTCAGTTAATCCCTGGCAAACTGACAGACGTGAGGTCACGAGCTGGGGACCTGAGTGCCATTTTGTCACTGCTGCCAGCACACCAAACAGAGCTGTGGCTTGGTGCCAGCTGTACCTGGTACAGCTTTGTCAACCCCTACATCACCTGCCTTGATGCTACACAGTGTGTTTTTAGCAGCTGTGAAACAGTGGCAGAGGCTTATGTGAAGAACTGAAAGGCTCTACCATTTCTCAGCACGTGGATAGACATCTGTTGTTACTGAGGAAAGGAAACTGAGTTTACAATTAATTTTTTAATTAGTTAAAAAAAATGTTATGTACAAAAAACCCATGATAAACAGAGCAGCTCACCTGCTACAATGACCCAGATATTAAGCTGAGAAGGTCTCACAGAAACCATTTGTGTGCAATTCACTGAATACAGCATAAGACAATAGAAAAAACAGGACTCAGGGTATTAGTGCTTAAGGAAAGACAAACCAAACAACCTGCCCATCAAGACTGTAAAAATAACTTGGTGGTGGACATGTTTGTCAGTGAAACTTGGTTTCCTTTAGAAGGAGTTACCAAAAGTGTCACTGGAGTCTGTGGTGATGTAGAAAGGTTTGGCACAGTGCAAAAGACAAACCTTTCTCCAGGAGGCTGCACAATCATCAGTCAGGAGCAGAAGTGGAGAATGGGACAGTCAGAGGGAAAACGTGCTGGTACAACCTGTCAGAGCTGTGGTGTGGCTGGCAGGGTGGAATTGCATTGTGATTCGAGGGAAGGATGGTGCTGGAAATGAGCAGAGGTGGAAGTGAATGCCAGAAGAGGTGGTCAGCCTGCAAGAAGCTGGTAGTTTGTGCTGGAAGGAACAAGAATAGGCTGAAAGAAGAGGAAACCTGAAAAGTGTGAGACACCATTGCCCATACACCAAGTCTTGCAGTAGGGTCAGGCTGCCTCGTGGAAACACTCTGATTTCTGTCACTTATGTTCTGTTTGCAACCAGAACACACAAGTGCAGAGTATTGTTTCCTAATAACCCAACTTATCTCCTTTTCTCTGTCAAAAACTCCTCTGTAAGAATGTTCTGGAGTTCCCATTACACTTTGTACAATGGGAAAGCAGGAAAAAAAGATGGGACAAAACAACTCTGCAGGAGTAGAAGGGGAGCAGTGCCTTATTTTTTACTAGTGACTTGATCTCATAACTCAATATTCCATAAACCACTTTAATCCTCCTATTTTCTCCAGCAGTTTCTCTCACAATATGTACCCTCTAGAAAAAAAAAGTGAAATGGATGGAATATGTCCTTGCTGTGTCCTAGGAAGATAAACAGCTCAGGCAACAATACATCCCATGGAGGTGCTTTCAGGCTTTGGTCTGCCCTGATAACATGCATAGAGCACTAAGGGAATGGGTACAGCTTGCAGAGCAGAAGGGAAAAACATACCTGTAAAACTCAGGGCAGGGTTCAGTTAGGTTAGTATGCAGAGTTGCTTAGGAAGCTTGTTGGGGCTTTTTCCTCCTTTCCCCTTAAAATGAGAAATCAATTTTTCCTACACGGTAGGCAAGAATGTCAGCCAGATCAGATGAGTCCTATCCAGTATTAGCATTCTGTAGGGAAAATCCTTCAAGTCCTGGCTGGGTAGAGAGAACACTGGCAGAAAGCAGCAACATTCAGTGCAAAGTCAGTCCTTAGGTTACTGTGAGAGACTCTCAAGAATCTGCAGAGCCTCCCCTAACAAGTGTCCCTAGGCAGAGGTACCAACACAAGCAGACCTATGTTTATGAAGCAAGGCCCTGAGTTACGTTTCATTACAGTAGATATGCGAGATAACCACTGACTTTAACACAAATTTCAGTGGGGCTTTACAGGTGTGGGTAGGAAGGAATGCACATAAAAGCTCGTACATTTGTATGCACACGTGTGCCCTCACACAGCAATTTAATGGAGGGGCTGTGTTGGCTGGGTTGGCAAGGTCATCCTGTCAGGAGAGAAAGGCTGCGAGAACTTGTGCCACTGCTGTGGGTAAGCAATATTAGTTGGCTGTTAGCTGTGCTGTCAGTGTGTATCGTTCCCTAAAAAGTCTCACAGCACTGCAAATAAGCATGAGGCAGAGAGACTCACTTCCAAGGTGAAGTTTTTCATGAAAAACGTGAGTATTACTGCCTCTTTGGGGGGGAAGTGACATACGTCCGTAATGGTCAGGTTCAAATCCAAAGTCCTCCAGCATGAAGAACTCGTGTGAGGCTGAATATAAAAGAAGTTTTAGCTTCTCCCAGTCACAACATGGAGGCACAGCCTGACTTGAGCTTGTGTGTCGGGGTTTGGGGGGTCCCAAGGGGCAGCTCTGCGTTGCTAAAGGGGTAGGCAGGCCCCTGGTTCCCACAGAAGCAGCGTCAAACCAGAGGTTCCCAAAGCCTTGAACTGGTGTGTCGATGCCGACGACGTTCTTCTTCTGCCCCATTGCAGGAGCACAGAGGGTCCTCCCAGGCCGGGGTTCCCGTGACCCCGTTGTAACGAGAGCACCCCAAAGCTTCTGTTTGACTTCATTCACATGAGATTATGTTGTCAGTCGTGTTTTCAGTCGCGGCAGCAGAGTTTTGCTGCTGCTGCCATCCCCTTGCAGAGGGCCAAAGGGTCAATGCCACAAGCATTGCTGTACAACGAACGGCGGCGTCTGCAGTGCGGAATGCACGGGGTAAGAAACCTGAGGGATTCAAAGAAAAAGTATTTACTGTTTTTTTTTTTTCCCCCGCCCCTTCTTAATCTTAAACGTCGAGCGGAAATGTTGCAGAGCCGACAAACGGGTATACACCTGCGACAGCCCTCCACGAGAGGGCTCCTATTCCATAAAATCGGAGCTGCTCGGAGTGGCAGGACTGTGAGCGACGGTCCGGCTCGGCGCTTCCTGCAAAACCTTTGGAGTGTGCAGGGATGCTACCCCTCTGCGGAGCGAGGATGGCTAATGAATGCGCTCCCCCATTTAAACAGCAGCGGGACGTGGCTCAGTACACCCTGCAGTTCCGAGATGGCAGTCGGCCACCAAGGAAGCAGGGCTTCCATCCCTGTCCACAGGCAGCAGCTGTCCCAGGCACTGGAGCTGGGAAACACCACCTACGGAAAAGCCTGACAAACTTTTGTAACAAAATAGAGGAATGTGGAAGAATGGGTTTGTTCAGTAGGTAAACTCCTGCCACTGCCATCACAAAACTCCCCAAAATTCAGGCTAACCAAGGCTCTAGTATCTGTCCCGGGCAGGGCCTTCCCCGGAGGAAAACATGAGTGGCTGTTCAGGTTTGGAAATGAGACGAGCGGCCTCAATGAGAGTTTCCCCTCCTTTCCACCTCAGAACTATTAAGCTTTTAGATCACCGCAGCACACAGCGTGCCGTCGTGACTTGCAGGACTCCACAGCTGCTGCTCTGAGGCATTACCCTGGCAATTCCGTGGGCTGCGGGGAGAGCAGGAAATGCCATCACCTGGATAATGATGCGAATAAGAACAGTTACCTGCTAATCTTTCTTTCAAGCCAAAGCCAATATAATGCTTTACAATCATAAAACTTTGGCAAGCCAGAGCCTTCCCCAGCCCATCTTTTGCAACACCTCGTTGTTGAAGGTAACTCCTTTTAAAATATGAGTGTTTCCTAGGCAAGTCTTAGGGAGGAAGCTTTTCCATTCCTCCAGCTTCTGAAGGGAATGGAGATATCTCAGAAGTGGACTGGCATAGCTGGTATTACTGGGAAAGCTGGAGTTGTTCTCTTGTTCACCCCTCCCTCACCACCATTTAGTCAACCCTTCATTTCTATTACCAGTGATGTTTCCCATGTTTATGTATCAGATCAGGCTCACAGGGAATCAGCCAGAAGTAACTTCTAGGGGGCGAAGCCACATGTGGGACCTGTGGTAGTGATGAGCTACTTACAAATGAGTCCAAAAGGACAGGGACTAAAAGACTGCCCAGTTCTTAGTTGGGAAGTCCATAAAACGAGCAGGGCAGCAGCAGGGGATGTCCCTGCAGATCCTGATAGCTGGAGGACTGTGCTGCAAGCCCACCTCTCAGATATTAATCAGCTTCCTTGCACAGGTTCAGAGCAGACACTGACAGTCGAAGCTGTCAAATGTTCTTTTTCTTTCATCTCTCTGTCTCTCTTCATCCCTATTTAGTCCCAGAAATTTCATGTTCATTAATGAAATGAATGCCAAAGAAACTTACACACCATCCACACAGGGCCCATTCTGTGGAAAAAGCAGCTTAGCAGCCCAACAAATTCAGTCCTCTAACGTTTTTCACTAGATTTTCACTAGAAATTTGAAATAACCCGAACAAAGCAATGCCCCACAAGGAATGTGAGCATCATTCCTCTGGTTACTTGACTGGAAAACACAACGTGTCCAGGTTGGGAATAGGGCCCTACTGCTGTTACTTACCCTAAAAGACAGCCCACGCTCATATTAAAAGGCACACGTGGTGTTGTGAGCTAACATGGCATGAGAATCCAGTGGTATTTGAGAAGCTATTTTGCCAAGAGAAGAGTGGTGAAGAAAACTACCTGCAAATGCAATCTGGTCATACAGATGATGTTTCAGATGTCACTTTGAGGCTCACAGGTGGCTTCATACCTTCCTTCATACCCTCTTCCACCGGATCCTGGGGCTTACAACAGTGAGGACAAACTGAAATTTGGAATCAGAGAAGACATAAAAGTGATGACTCCAAATGTCTTCTTCAACAAAGTGTAACTGAGAGTGGGAAGAAAGGAGAGAAGAAATTAAAGAGATCCCTTAGGTCTAGTTGCTTCTATTTTAATTTGGCAGGACTCACCCCTGCAGTACATCCTAATATGCTTGGCCCATGGCCATAGGCTGATCTGATAGAAAGCTCTGTTATATATAAATATTATCAATATAGTGTCATATGGATAAAACAGTTCTCATTAGCAGAGGCATGGAACCTCAGCCTGGCATAAAGACAGGTTGCTACATGCTAAGATAAGTTAGAAGGGAAATAAAAGTTACACATCACTAAATGCAGTTTTCCTATCAAATGAAAGAATGCCGGTGTTAAAACCAACAAACTCTTTCAGTGCTTTAAAAGGACCTCAGAATAAACAAGTCCACTACGTATCTCAGCATCTCATGAATGACTTCTGTTTTAACTGTTCAGGTTGAATCTCTACTACCACAGCAAACTGTACTTGCACAAATCATGCAACATGAATCATAAGCCATTCTTTAAGTGACCTCTAATCTTGGTGCTCTGTGTTTGCATTCCTTAATTACTGTAAAGGCAGGCTGTGAACCTCAACAAAGCATCTGCATGTTTTGGTCACCACAACAATCACGCATCTGAGAACTCTTACTTCCGTTTCACTCTGTCTTTCTATTCTTCCCTCCCACACTTCAGCTCTTTGAAGCATGGCCTTCTGAGCTCAGAAACCACTCTTAGCATCAAGGCAACTCCTGACTCAGCTTTCCATGGGCCAGAGCAACAGAGGTACTCTCAGACCTACTCTGAGCTCCCGCAAGAGCCCTTGAAATGTGACCTGCAGCAGCACCAGCAGGATACACTCTTAGGACAGGTATTTCCCTTCCCAGACAGGTGGCAACGCCCAGCAATACTGAAATGGGACAACTATACAAACTGGGAAGTTGGATGGAAACTCTGGCTTCAGTTACTTACAGTGTACACTTGGGCTGGAAAGTGGCTGTACCGAATAGCACCACCTGACTTGGCAAATCCACTCCCTGTGCATATTATGCAAATGGGACTGAAAGGGAAATTCCAGTTTGTGCAGCCCTGTGCCATGCTGTTGCAGGTGATTGCATCCTACCACATGGGTATGCTTTTTACATCTGCTTTAAAAGCAATTTGGTCCCTATATAAAAGACTATCTCAGAATGCTCCGGAATCGTGCTAATTTAATGGTGAGGAACCTTTTAATTTCCAGCCAATATTTGTTTAGAGCCAAATCTTGCAATTCCAGTTCATTTTCTCCTATAATTAGAAGTGCATTATACATGCAGCTAACAGCACAGGCTGTGATCAAATGTGATTTTCTAGGTTTCAGCCTGCTCGTTGCTTTCCCGTTGACACAGCCCCAGGGAACAGCATGGGACAGCCAGCACTGGTGTCACAGGGGCACAGGAGTGGAAAATGAGGAGGTGCACAGGTGTAACCAAGACTCACTGCCTTCCAGAAGCTTCCTTTCTTTGTGATAAAGCACTAAAAGGAGATCAGCCCAGCCTGACTCAATGGTCACGCTGGTTTTTGAAGGGATGTGGTCGACGAGGAGGGGAAAAGAAAAATAGTAATGCAACCTCCACACCTCTGACTTGGGAGTGAACTTGTCTGAGTAGAGGTGTCAGAACACACAAGCATGACAAACTTACAAGTGTCTGTAAGCAAACTGAGTCCTTGCTGTCCAGCAAACAGCCTTTTCCAAAGGGGGGTACCGCAGTGACCATGATGGGCTGGGGTGCTCAGAACTGGGGGCTCCCAGTGTAAGTGGCCTGAGCACAGAGCCCTCTCAGTGTGGGATTCTTGTCCCCACACACGGCTTCCCCAGTGCCCTGACAGAACTCGGTGTGGTGGTATTTATAACATGTTGCAAGGCCTGCTGTCATTCTCCGTGACTGCTCTGCAAAGCTGCTAACAGGGTGTGGATAAGACATCTCCTGCTGTTGACTTTCAATCCTAGCTGCCTTTATAAATCCATTAGATGTCTACCCACATCTTCAGGGGCTTTCTGGTGAGGTCAGCTTAGACATGATTAGGAGCAACAGCTAACAGATGAGATTTTTTGAGGGGGAAAAAAAAATCTACTTAGCTGCCAGCTAACCCTGAGGTGTTTGAGATCCCCTTGGAAAGCTCCTGGAGACACGGCTGGAGTTACTGAAGACTTCATAGGGTGGGACCAGGCACCTCACCTGTGCCATTTTGGGCCACACAAAAAATACAAATCCAATTCTCCTGATTGGTGTTCTCCTAAAAGTGGGGCACTGCTACGCTGAAGTGTTTTCTGTGGCCCTAACACTATGTATTTTTGTTACTTTGGCTCACAGAGTATCTGAGGGATTGTCTAAGTAGGGTGTGGAGAGAGATCCAATTTTGAAACTCTCAGTGCTCAGCCATATCTATCACGATCACCAAAACTCTTGGCATCTGAAGGCATCTTAGGTCACATCCTAATACACGAAAATGAACCCCTGTGAATATCTTCATTTCTGTATACCCCTGGTTTTGGAAATATTCTGATCTGCTGGCAAAACTCCCCATCACCCTTTCACTCCCAAACCTGAACCCTTGTGCTGCCTGCACACAAAATGTAGCAAAGTCATGAGCTAGACTTAGATTTTGTGACAGTGGATGCTGAAATAAAAAAAACAAAAAAAGGAAATGAGAAGAAGGTAGAGAAATACCTAATGTGGCAGTATAGTTTCTATAAATGTGTATCTTAATAGAAACATAAGCAGTAAGAGACAGTTTCTTGAAAAAGGAGGTACACTTACCACGCCTTGGGAGGTATCTTGCTGCCAGGATGATTGCCAAAATGAAGGTGATAACAACAATGCTTGAAGCAGTAATGACATTATAAGGTGGAGGCACAGGAGGAACAACACAGTCATTTGTTTTTTCTGAGGCAGGAGAAATAAAAAATAAAGGACACAACGACTTATTGTCATTTTCATGTAAGAGCAGGTACGTGAATTTTGGTGGCTCTGGCTAAGTTCTAACTCAGGTATTCAGCCTGAAAATGGACCTGTTCAATAAACAAATGAGAAAAGCCGGTGCCTTAATTTCTTCTGCTTTGCCGCATTTGCTCTGTGCTGAAATTTTTAACATATCCACAGAGTGTGAAATGCTGGGGTTTTGTCCAGAACAGAACTGAGACAGGCAATATTTGAAAACACATAAGCTGTTTTAAAGGAAGTATTTGGGCTTGGTGGAAGACTCTGAGTCTGCAGCTAGAAAATTTCCATTTTCAAAGCTACCCTGCAGTTTTCCATACTGTTTTCATCAGATTTATGCCTAATTCTCTTCCCTTTCGATTCAGAGGTGAAGGAGAATGATGCATTAAACGGGCTAGAACAGACTTGTTTTTTCTGTGTGGCAGGAAAACAGTGTTGTGGCAGAGTTCAGCTTCAGTGGATCCAGAGCCTTTGGCTTTTCACCACAGGAGATGACATTCCACTGCTGGGACATAAGAGCAGATACCAGGCCATTCCTGTACACTACAGGACGACCCTAATTCAACAGGAGGGACAGACTTGCTGCATGTCTGTAGGTCCCCAGAGCTGTGTGAACAGATCTTCAGTTTTTCATCATCTGCATCTGGCAGAGTTGAGCATCATTCCACGTCTAAGACACTGGCCTGATCTGCTGTACAATCTTTCCCCCCCACTGTAGGGTTTGCCTCCTGTGTTTACCAGAGGCTGTATTCTGCCTGGAAGTCTGTTCATGAAAGACTTGTATAAGGATCAATTACGTCATCCCATAATGGGAGTGGATCTATATCTTAAAAATCAAAAAGCAGGGGGTTTGTGACTGCTGTGACTGCGTCACTGTTGATTGCACCCTCCTCTGAGAATCTGTGTGACAACAGTGTATTACTATTATTGCTTTTTTTTTTGTTGCTCTCCTTTTCTATGTAGCATGATATTCATAACCTTCTTCCATTAGCATCTCTAGGGACATTATGTGCTACATGCAGCAATAACCAATATTCATAAAGCACTGGTTCCTGGCATTCGTTCTGAAGTTGAATGGCACCTCTCCCCACAAGCCCCTTTGATTTTAGTAAGGTAGATGAATAAGCTGCCTTGATGAATAAGGTACAATTCCCTAGGAAAAATAGCACTTCTCTATCTTCCCCTGAAGGTGCCCTTATCTCTACAGTAAAAACATCAGACCCACAGACATTTCAGAACACTTTTTTCGGTAGCAACGTTAAAAAAAAACTCCTTTTGGCTTTAAGAATTTTCTGGCAAATCCCCTTCTACTGCAAAACATCTGGACCATAGTATGCTGCCTTCCCTCATGCTGTTTCCACTTGTGCCTCAAGCTTTTCAAAGCACAGAGTTATCTATTATGCTATCACTTCTAAGCCAGGCTCAGTGATGGAATTCTTTTCGTATGAGTTAACCCTATATTACATTTAAAAGCAGAATTTTGTCTAGACCCCAGCTGAACAGTTTCTTTCACTGAAGCAGGGACAAACATGCTTGTTAAATGAAGAAATTCTTTTTAAGTGCATCCCGTGGCTTTTAAAGCACAAATACCATTCAAATACCAGGTCTGTGTCATGCAAGTGGCAGCGGGACTGTGCTGGTGCAGAGAGGCACTGGATGGTGGCAACCCCGACCTGTGGGAGCAACTGAGCCTGATATCACAACAGGATCCAATTGCCATCTCAGCCCAGCTGTGACAGAAGAGCAGCAGGAAGACAAAGCCATCACCGCTTATCAGTCACTGTTGTAACTCTCCCTTCCCACCCCTGCTGTCTTACAGCCTTTAAAACATTTTGGCGCACAGCTCACAGGTGGGGTCGTTGTGCCATCCTCGCCTGAACAGTTACACAAAACGGTTTTGTAACCAAAAAAACATTAATAGCACATACCCAGAAATAAACTGGTGGACTTGGCCAAGCCGTCGTATTCAACGGAGCAAGTGACGTTGACGTCGCTGGTCACGTTGAGCACCAGCGTGCCGGTGACGTTGTACGGGCTGAGGCTGGACTCGGACACCCAGCTGGCATTCCACTCCACAGACACGTTGTTGAGGGCTCCAGAGATTCTGGGTTTGGGGAAACCTCCGTGAGAAGAGCACACTATCACCATCTCGGCTGATTCGCAGGAGCTAGCGGACACCTCTGCTGTTACGCTGGGCTGGCTGAAGTCGGCTGAAGCAAAAGAGACTCGGTTACCATTCCGTCAGATCACAGCGAGAGTTGCAGTCCCCATCACCCACAGTCACAGCAAAGGCTCCCCCACAGGGCATTCTCCCCCTGCCATAATTTAATTGGCCTCTTGTGCCATATTGCCAGTCAGAGAGCTGCAGCAGGTTGCTCAACTCACTGCACAATGATCCTTTTTGGAGCAGCTACGGTTTCAGTGTGTGTTTGCTCCCTGCCTGACTCATCGTGTGACCACGTGACTGCTGGGATCTGCACAGGGCAGATTCTGGTCCTTGGTGTGTCCTCCGTGGCTTCTGCTGCCCACAAAGCTCTGGGATACCAAGTAACTTTTAACTAGTGAAAGAAAATTGCTCAACATGCATGGCTGACCAGTGGCGAGCAAGGAGAGACACAGATTTCCCTCCAAGCCCGCTGTCTGTTGAGCAATATGACACTGCCATCCAGTCTAGAAAGTCCCTTCAGACATCCCAGCCTGCTTCCAGCAGGGATGAGGGAAAATTTCCCTTTCCTGGTCCCCAGAATAACCGATCCCACTTTACCAAAAGGAGCAGAAGTCTACCACAATTGTTACAGCTGGCCTGCTAAGACAGCAAGGGAATTTCTGGAAGGAAAGAAACTGGAGTATTTGGGGCCAGGAAAAGAGATCTGTAGTTTCATATTTTTCATGCAGTTAAGTCCTCAGCCCTCATGGTTAGAGAAGGTGCTGGCAGTGCACTTCCCTTTTTTCATATCAGTTCCCAGAAAGAACACTAATTTTGTCTCCTTGCACGTATGCCCACCATGCCCTCAGACAAGCAGGCAGTGGCCAAACCTCAGGAGCTGGTTTGTTTTTTAGTTTTGTTGATCTCCCTTCCAGATGGGGAATGCTCCTTCACTGACTTGTCTGGGAGATTCCTGCAACTCTCTGCTGTTAAAGGTGTTCAAAGGTATGTATATATTTATATATGCCACCAATATCTCTATCTTCAGCTGAGACCAACCACCACAAAACCAGGGGTGGAAATGGAAAATAATGTCAGTGGAACTTTTTGTGGTTCAGGTTCATTTTGAGCAAAGGAACTTGGTTTATTTAAGGTAAAAATACTCAGATCTCCAACTGAGTTCAACCTTAGGCTGTGGAGCTGCGGTGCAGCCAGTGAACTGGCCAGCCCCCAGAGAGCCTGGGCTTCCCAGGGGTTTGGATGCAAGCCTGGAATGCTGCTGTGGCCACCCCCTTCCTCTTTCGGCTTGGATGCTTGCCATGCACCAAGGGCTTGGTCTGACTTTGCCCAAAAGACATCAGGGGCTGCCTAGGGGACTCACCAGCAGTGGTACCTGGGGAGGGGTCCTGGGAGGGATCCTTTCACAACAGGGAGGCATCAAGGGGAGGAGGTTGGGCTGGTGGTGTTAAAGCCAAACTCTCTGTACCTGGGGTAGCTTTGGAAAGTAAGTAGGGAGGCTGCTAGAACGGAAATACTTAACACATCTTCCATCACTCTTTTAGGCTGCCTGATGGAAGCCTGTCTGCTCCACTACGATAAAGCTTGGAGGAGTGTCCTTTACCCCCAAGAGCTGGCACTGGGGGGTGTCAGGAGACAACCCACCTACCTGTAACAAAGAGGGTGAGGCTCTCGTCACACACAACAACGGAGTTGTGCTGAACCACACACTGGTAAGTGCCATTGTCCAGGATTTCCATGGGGGAAATCCACAGGATGAGGTCCCAGGGGTCCATCTTCGTGCGGTTCCTGTAGCGCTCGTCAGCCTCGATCATCTTCCCGTTGGAGTAGGCCAGCACCACCACCGTCACTTCCGGAAACTTCTTCTGCCAGTAGGCCCGGTAATTCTGCAGGCTTTCCGAGCGCGGGATTTCACGGCAGCAAGGCAGGCTGACCTTTTCCCCCAGTTTGCTTCTGACTGCTCTCTTCTCCAGTGCTTGGCCTGCAGGTGAGGGGCAAACAAAAGTCAGTGAGACAGCGGTATGGCCTCGCGGCAGGACCTGCCGCCCAGAGCTCACCTCTTTTGGCTCTGTCTGCACCCACTGAGTTTACAGCTCGATTTACAGCTTCAGCTCCGCACTGAGGGAAGGCCTCCCTTGGCATTGCCTTTTCCATCATGCTCCAGTCCTGCTGTCCTAGTTAGAACAGCTGGGACCAGTTCATCACTGTATGGGTGCAACCCAAAACTGTGTATTCTATAGCCTTCCATGCCATTTCCCAGAAACTGGTATCAATAGACCATTTATACCATCTGCCCAGAGCAGCCTGACTCCTCAGGCTATAAACTGGGTGTTAAGAGGCCTGTGAGATAGGAGGGTGCTCCTGTCCTCACACCCCGCCCTGAGGGAGGTACTGGGCATTCCTGCCTGAACTGGAGGATATATATAATCTTGGAGTCTTGGGACTTTTTTAACCACTCGTGGGATCCAGAGGAAGACTGCAGACCACCACTCTCAACCAGACTGCAACCACCACTCTTGACCAGACTACACCAGCACTCTCACCAACACGTTTTTCCCTCTCCCTTTACTTTGGACTCAGGGGGCCCAAAGAACACCATTCTGTTCATGCTCCAGAGTGCTGGGTTATACATTTGGGTTTTGTGGGTTAAAACCAATTGTTCGTCTGTATAATCGTACTTATTGTATTATTTTATTAAATTGTTATTCTGACTTATAATCTCTCTTTTGAGTTGGGTTCATTTCCCCTGCTGCTTTACCTTTAAACCAGCACACCTGCTTACGATCCTGAGCTGGTGGGCACACAAGAATTGCTGCATGGACTGCTGAAGGCAAAGGCAGGAGGAGTGTTACCTGCCTGAACAGGAATTTTGCTGGCCCCCTTAAAAAAACCACACCTCACTGTCAAGAATTGCCATTATTCCTGTAAAGGGATAGAAACGTACATGCACAAACTTCTGTCTCCTCTGCTCTCCCTTTGCAGAGCTCAGTGTCCAGAAAATCTCTGTCACTCTCTGGTGGGTTCCCTGCATGCCAAACAGGGCCACAATAGACTATTAGCTTTGGGAGATTAGGGTTCTATTGGAAGTTTTTTGGTTTGGGATTTTTTTTTTTTTTTTGTAAGAGATGAAAAGCCCAAATTTTCAAGATCCCAGAAACTAGAAGCAACCCCACAATGATAAACAAAGGTTACAGCCACGCTGTCATCAGTCTTCTAGTATTAGCAAACAAACAATTTTGTCTAGTCTAGTTAAAACAAGTTTCTATTTTTGAAGGTCCATGGGCCTCCCTTGGGATGACTCGGAGACCAGCACAGATGTTCCCCAAGTCCTGCACAGTGACCGTGCCACTGCCACACCTAGACTACAGGCATGTGCCTACAGCAACAAGCTGAGACCCTTGCAAGGGTGAAATAAGGTACAACTGACCCTGAGATTAGCTCAGTTGGTTAGAGCATGGTGCTAATGACACCAAGGTTGTGGATTTGATCCCTGTATGGGCCATTCGCTTCAGACACTTGTGGGTCCCTTCCAACTCAGAACATTCTGTGCACTTTGACCACATTAGCAGTAATCCCCCTACTTAGCACTGTGACTATCATGCCTTGCTTTCCCATTCCCTCCTCTTTCCAGTGGGTAAGTGCTCACAGGGGCCAGGACCTAGGAGGGAGCAGCCTACCAAAGAGCTCCTGCTGCTGCTGAAAGGTGACCCAGCATTAATGCACGGTCCTGTGCTGCAACAAGGCAGATGGCTGAGCTTTCACCTGAGTTGGTGCAACCCTGGGGATGATGTGCACCGTGCTGTGTTAGTCCAGAAGGTCGGGTCACTCTACATTTTCCCTGCTTGCCTCAGCCTCGCTACCTTAGCGCTCATCTCCAGTGGTGGGATATCAATCCATTCCTGCTCTCATCCACTGATGAGAGCAAGAAAACAAGGAAATAGCTGGCTTCAGGACAGAAAAGATTCAGATTCCTTCTTCCTTCCCTGCAGAACACATCTCAGTAAACATGCCGGAGAGAGGAAGCAGGAAAGTCCTGACAGGTGGAGTGTCACTGATGGGGACAGTGCAGCATCACCACTGGCGGAGGTGAGAGCCCATGTGCAAAGTCTCTGCCTGATGCATGAACTGAAAGCTTGACAAAGCTGAGCCTAAGAACTGCCACCCTCCCAGCAAAGTCTGGCTGGTGCTGGCTCACACTTCATAGTCTCTAAGATTCTATGAAATAAGCCTCTCCCCTGCAGCACACCTACCCCTGTCCCGCTTCACACAGCTTACATTAAATCTGTAGGAAACACACTGAAAAAACGCTGTGGAGGTCCTGGAAACACTATGGCATGTTTTAATATTAATTAATATTTAATTAAATAAAATAGAATGCAATTAAATTAGCAACTTCTTATTTGACTGGTTTCCCTCCACTCAGCCGCTCCGTTGATCTTCCAAAAGGAAAGATTCAATTTCCGCACACACACACACTACCTGCACTTCCCCTTATAATGTGTTGCAGATTCTGAGCAACCAAGCCCACTCTGACCTCTGTCAGCCACAAATTGGCAGCAAAAAGGTAGAAAAACTAGTTCTTCCACACCACCTGGGATAAGAACTGCCATGTCTTGCCAACCTCTGGCAGCCTGAAATTTAGGGATTTCTTGACATCAGCAGTTCAACTGCTACTCCTTCAGGAAGAGTTCTTGCCCCTTCAGGAATGTATATATATTTTTGGCTTTCAAAACATTTTGTGGTGAGGAATTGCACAGTTTGATTACATGGTGTGTGAAAAAGCATTTCCTCCTGTTCACCTTAAAAGCAACCCGCTTCAGGCTGTGACTCTTGAAGTTCCTTCTCCTCTTTGTCTGTGTGCATTTGTGTGTGTGCTTCTTCCCTCGACCACATCAGCTCAGCTCCTATTACTGTTGGAGAGACTCAAAAGAGCAGCCAGTCAAACAGCCAGTCAAACTTTGGGATTGTGGAGCCTGATAAAGACCATTTTCTATTTTCTTTTGTGGCAATAGGGGAAGAGTGGGCGTACAGTAAATGTCAGGGTGACATCGTATCATGGGTTGCATGAGGTTCTTCGTACCTTGCCCCTAAGAGTCTCCTTTGCAACCAAAAGGAGAACAAAAACCTTTTCAGCAGTACATGTGCAGGGGCTGGAAACTCCTGCTGATGTCATGTCTACCCTTAAAAGGCTCTGCAGCCCTTGAAACTGCAACCTGAATGTTGCAAGCCTGAAGGAACCAAAGTCTACGGAGAGTCATTCAGCCTCACAAAAGTCCCGTTTCGTTTTAAAGGTGAACTGCAAAGCAAAAATGAAAATTCAGTTCTCCCCCATTTCTGTGCTGAAGGCTCTCTGTAACCAGTCTGTGGGGAAGGTATTCACCGTGGAAATAATTTTTAATGAATTTTCTAGGAAAAAAAAGATCCCTCCTCTTCCCACCCCTCTGAAGCCCACCCACTCCCTTGCTGTGCACACACATCTCTCTGTCACTGCAAGCCCGTGGCGTGTGCCAACACTGAGCTGATGAAAGGGATGACTTTCTGTTCCCTGTGCAGAAAAACATGTTTCATTCAAACTGTGCCTGTGCTGCAGATGCCCCACACAGCAGGGCTCATCAGAACAGAGAGGTGAGTGACAAGGAAAATCATGGGTTCTTGTTTGCTCCAAGAGTCAGCAAGCAGGAGAGCTCTACAGTCTCCCGTGTCCCTGTTTCCTTCATTCTTTGCCCCAAGCCTTGAGTCAGAATTTCCCCAGCCACAGAGAGCTTGGGATGTCTGTGGCACATGCAGCCGCACAGTACAGGAGAGAGGGTCGCCTCTGGGACAGAAGTCCTGCAGAGACATTTGACAGTAAAGGGCAGCTAAAGACCTAGCAAAGCTCTAGAGAAGCAGTGCCAAACTGTTGGAAACCTTCAGATAGGTGCTGGTGAACAGAAGCTCCAAAGCCATTCTCTTTCCCCTGCATTCCCCATTTCTCTGCCCTTCTCAGCTGCTTCGCCTTTATTTGCTCTCACCTTGTGTTGCCTCGCTTTGCACACAATGCACAAAGCAGTAAACATGAAAGGAAAAGTGGGCCTGGAGTCCCTTGCCAGCAGGTAAGACAGTGGATCTGCACACCTTTTTAGCAGACAGTCCTGCAAAAAATTCTAAGGCAAATTGTCAGCGGAGCTCCAAAACCGAGAGGGTAAAAACAGCCTTGCTTTCTTTTTTTTTTTTTTTTCCCCTTCAAGTTCCCTATTTGTCTTTGCAACAGCAGCTGCTATCTCTACTCATAAATTAATGGCATCACTGACTTTGCCTAAGACCATGCACTCCCACTCTGCCTGGGCACTGACACCTTCCTCCCACTCCGTCTGCGTGTGGGCTGAAACAGGGACTTGGGGAAGCTCTGGGAGGAGGTGCACAGCATGTGGTGGTGAGGTAAGGGCACTTCTGGTAACTGGGGCTGGGCTGGCTGAGCAAAACCCATCTTGTGGAGCTTCACTTTTCTCCCGGTGGCCATCCCCTGGGACCACACAAGAACCACACTTAGCAGTCCTCAGGTAATTGTGCAGATCAGGCACCTCATTTTCTGTGAATTGCACATTCGCCCCAAACCTGCATGATTTATCCCTTGAGGGCAATGCAGTATTTTACAGGGATTTCCAAGCAAGACAGATAATCTGTGGAAAAATTAAGACATTTTTAAAAGTTGAGCCTTTAAAAGACTAGACACTCCCCCTTGGTCTCTCTTTTTTTATCCCAAATGATTGTACCAAGGAGGAATGAGATTCTCTCAAAGCTTTTCCATGGAGTCCTGTGCTACACTGCAATACGTGAAGAAATGCTTTGTATTTAAGTCAGTGCTGTGATGGACTCTTGTGAATACAGCGATCACAGCTGCCCAGATAACCTCTGTGCTCCTTCCACACAGACTCCACTCTAGCAAGTTCAGGCATGCAAAGGGAGGTCCTGGCAGGCAGAGAAAGGAGGAGTGGCCCCTTC